GCAAGATTTCCTCCACCTTCCGGAACCGCACTATGCTAAGGGCTGGGAGTCAGGCTGGGTCTTAGAGACCCCAACCCAAACTCTGAACCTAAATTGCATGGCCCTATATCCCTTTTTTTTGCAGACAGCTAAAGACTTCAGAAGTTCAATCCTGAAGCCTATGTGCTTGGGTCCTTAAGGATTCCCCCACTTTTGAGAAACTCCCGTTTGACCAGGCTGCCAAAGATGCGAGTTGAGCCGCATGGGCCATGCGCAAGCAGTGAAATCTGAGATGATCTGTCCACGTATTCGACAACTAGTCAGTGAAGTTGGAGGGTTTGTCAAGATCATGGTTCTTTCTAGGGGACCCGAAATATTTTCGGTCGTATTGTACTAGCGGCCCCAAGACGGACCAGAATTTGGACAACGTACCATGTACAATCCACCCATGTGTTCAAAAAAGAGTCTTTAAGACACTGTTATGTAGATGCCTGGACCTTTGGGGCGCAGGTTAACAGGGCCATGTGTCAGGCTTGAATCAGGATAAAAGGACATATTCCGCCCCTGTGTCTCAAATGTTGATTACCAGTGCAAGATCCAGTTTGGGGGCTTAGCACAAGGCCGTATCGAATTTCCTTTAGATCTTGTGTTGTTTGCGGGACTTCCTGCACGCGGTCAGCCACAAGAGAATCCTGCACAAACCGGGACCAGCTGTCACATTCGAAAAGTGGTGATCGAACTCCATCCATTTCGGGATGTCCTTGAGGTGGGTTGTCGTTATTGCTAATTATGACCCCTCAAATAAGCAGCTTAAATTCATGTTGTTGAGGGTTCCCAGATTTTAAGACGTCCAACGCCAACGGAAAGCCACCAACCCATCCTTGAAAATTTACGGACGGACAGCTGGAACCCTGGGCATTTAAGCTCGATTTTCCTGCGCGGCCTTGGTGCCGCTGTTGCCGACGTTTGTGGCGGCTTAATTGACCCAGCGTGAGCTCTGGCGAACTTAAGATTGAAAGAGTGGGATCCTACCTCCGCTGAAATTGCAAAGGGGGTGTTTCAAAGGAGGGTTGCCGCTATGCCCGCAAAAACGGTATAGTCCCATCTGTGGTGAGTGCTGTGAGAATTTCCATAAGCCCTCTACCCTAAGTGTCCGGCTCGCACCTGAATTTCTTGACCCCTGAAATCCTCAACCCCCAACGTGTAATTTTATGGCACCTGAAGTTTGGCAATGTAATAGCCCCCGTATAATCCTCTTGTAGCGCTCTCAAAGTAGGTTCCGTATCCCCTTCGAAGCCCAGGTCCCCACAAACTAAACGCTAGCTCTAAACCCTACTTCAGCCCCAATTATACCCCTAAACCCCTTTGAAGGTAACCTTGTCTACCCCCACAACCCCTTGAAAGGCTTGATTTTCAGACCAGCAGGTACCAGCCTGGAAAGGTGACATTTCAGAACGACAGCTTTGAAAGGCGCGTTCCAGAACTTGAACTTGTTTTTTTGGACCACTACTATATGACAACTTTGTGACAAAATGTTGTATTCCAAAACTTGAGGTGATTTGTTGCGGGGTACCTAGAACGAGTATATGGACTCCACACCGGGTCAGGTTTAGGGTTTTAGAGCTTGGGTTTACCAAATTGGGGAATATACGCGGTCCCCCTCATTTATGGAAACTGCCGCTTCCCCTTCCTTTAGTAAGTTGTGCCCTGTACTGTCCTTTCCGAGGAAGCCTACACAGGATTCCACTTTGATTTGGGGAATGGCAAAGCTTCGTTCAAGACAACTGATCACCCCCTCCGAAAGTTCAAAACCCCCACCCCATCAAGATTAAAGCTTCTCGTTGTGGTATACTATAACAGATGGAGAAATCTTTTTGGGGAGGGGAAGAGGGGCAGGGGATTATTTCGAAGCTTAGAGTCTCATCAGGCAATATAGGGTTACGGGGATCAGGGGTTCAGGGTTTAAGGTAGCTGCCTAAGGGTTCTTTGGAGTGCTAAAAGCCTACTGTGTTACTTGGAGGTTCATGGGACTTTCTAACTATCTACACTCACAGATCAAACCATTCATCTCCCTCATAACCTATGGCCCCACTATGTACCCAGCTCGCTGAACAGAAATGTTCCAGCTCTCTACTGCCATAGATAATGGGAATACTACTCGTTAGGATTCGTTAGGTGTGGCGGGGAATCATTGTCAGGGAGCGGTGCGCAACCCTAAGGCTGAGTCTAAGCCAGGTATCCTCGGTACCATGCACTCATACCCCGCAAATACAAGTCTCCTAAACCACCCCAAGGCCTGCACCCCCTAACCTTACAAGTAAACCTGTGCACACGAATCCAAGTGCACGGAACCCCTGTGTAAACCCTCAAACCCCAAACGTTGGAACCCTCAAACCCCTAAACACTCAAGCCGGGGTTGTTTGGGGATACAATTTAGGATTTAGGGCTTGCATTGGAGTAAGCCCAATAAGGAATGTACTTGTGTCTATATACGCTCCTATTTTTTGCCAATGTCGCAATGGGCACCCAAACTATCAACCACCGAGATCTCGAAGCCATGAACCCCTACAACCTGAACCCTGACACCTTAAACCCCCAATGCAAGAAGCTAAATACGCAAAGTAGGCTTTGGGGCGGATTATAACCCTAAACCCGAAACCATTAAGAGCTACCATGATTTGTAATCAGTCAAGCTTCGCAGGTTGCCCGCCTCAACTCCTCAGACTCTAAACTTACTGGTGGTTAAGAGGGGATATGGGAAAATGATCCCTATGTAATCTCTACATAATATGTTCCCTTCTTCCCTACTAACCCCAGTAATCAGCTAGCCCTATATTAATCCTATATGCACTGTTTCAATGTCATGTTTCATTTTTTAATTTGATTCTCCATTCTATCCCCAATATACTATAGGATTTTCCATATTCTTTCCCACTGTTCCCTAAACCCTACACCCTAACCCTCTTTAGGTAAGTAAATCATAGACGCCAGCCCCCTATCAGGCCTCAACTGTTGGCACTTTGCGAGAAGATGGTACACTCGGGACAGGAGGCCTTGCTGGCTTAGGCTAGGGTTTAGGGTTTAGGGATTCGGCTGTTAGCAGGTAATGACATGACTTTGGGCTCTAAATCGTTAGTATGGGATGAGGGAATACAATTAGTCAGAATCCCTCACAAAGGGGGTTGCCCCGGGAGACTGGATGGAAATGCGGGGATTGTGTGGGGCAGGAGTTCTCTTTACAAAGTCTTCTAGCAAACGCTCAGATTCGCCGAAAGGAGCCTCAGAAGGCCTGAACCCTAGCTAGCTGCCGACGGGTATTCACTTTTCGTAACATAGTTTGAGAAACTCCTGTGCGCTCCCTTTTGTTCATGTCAGTTGGTGTTTTGGGGGGATGCTGTAGTCCCATGATATTCTCCTGTTGGATAAAATATCTTATATGAAGAATATAGTCTTGCTGGGCTCAAGTACCGAAAACTCGATATAAACCCCAAATCCCCGGTAGATTCCATGTTCGTTGCATTCCCTACTTCGACCAACCACCAAAAAGACCTGCAATCCAGGCGCTCTCCAAAGGACCGAAGTGTGGGGCCTGGCCCTGCACGTTCAACTTGCAGGATTCAGGGTTCAGGGTTCAAAAGGTTTCATCCACTCTACTTTTGGCAGCAACAAGTCGCAGTGCTTCAATCTGGAGATTCGCATCGGGCAGTAGTAGAACAGGAGCAAAGCAAAAGCACGCCGAACGTGATGTCTCGCTTTTGTTCGAAGAATTGCTGGGTTGCACTTACATATATCATTGCCAGCTTGCATACAAGGATGTAGCTCCATCGTGATGCACGGGTTGCCAGAATTTCGACTCAAACAATGGCTTCGGACATGCTAGTGTTGCACAGGTTTCAATGTGGGCCATGGCTATCCAGAAAGGAGATACCGAGAGCTGCATTCTGTAGAAACCTCAATCGTTGGCAAGCATGTCTTTTACTGGATCTGTTTGGCAACGTTCCATCCTTCATCCTGTGACCAAACAAAGATAGACAATGTTTATCTTAATTCTTACGTATCCTTCAGCATCCCCTTACCGGCTTGAGAATTTCCTATGCCCTCAACCCTGAATACCCCCTTTGTTTCACATCTTGCAGGCCTCAAAAACTAGTCGAGGTGGAGGGGGTGATGAATCTTGGTGGCGTTCCCTCTCTGAGGGTGTAGAACCTAGTAAGATATGTACTGTACGTTTGGCAATAAGAGAGTCGTCTTGGATATAGTAGCTTCTCCACAAACTAGCTTAAATCCTGAGTCTCCAAATCCCAAAGCCCTAAACTTTTACATCTCCGAGAGCATGGCTCGAGGAGGAAGGCATGATTTAGACGATACCTTAAAAGGGTTATGTTTAGGGAAGAAGGGAAAAGCCAATGAACACTTCTATTGTATATTTGGGATTATACTGGGATATTATACATATTGGTGGCTAGTAGGGAATGAGGGAATCTAATATCAAGGGATCATGCAGGGATTACATTCCCTTATTCCCTGCTAGCCAGCGGTAAGTTGAAATACAAACCCTACCGGATGCAGGGACAAAGCACTGCTCGGCCAAAGGCACTCAGCCTTGGGCAAGGAAAACAACCTGCGCGCAGAGAGCCCCGGGAGACTAGCCCAGGTGACTCGCGGGCTTTAAGGTTTGGGGATTTGGGGATTGCATTCAGGGCTTTGAGGTTGGAAGTTGGGGCTTTGAGCGCTCACGTTATAAAGTATTAAAGAGACGCTCTTTAATGCGCTCTGGCTCTTGCTTAAAGAGTTTCAGCCTAATGTTCGAGGACTCTCTGTAATGTGTTTTCTCAAGCCCTAACCGAATCCAGACCATCCCCTTGAAAGTAATCCCCAGAGGGCCTGGGCCCTCAGTAAGATCCTTATTCAGGACGCCGGTTTTTAATGTTCTGGAAGCCTATTGTTGGGGGGGGAGGGGGCGGGAGGGGGATTTCCATACTGACCATTACTTCAATTAAATAATTAGGCTCGGCCCGCTCCTTGTGTATACACGGTAGCACTCCACACCACGACAGCCCTCAGGCTTCTTGAACAGAAAACTCCAGATGGGCTCGAAAATGGCAACGGCCACGTAGAGAATCCCGTAGATGACCCCGAGATGAGTTGTCCCAAAAGTCAGGCGTAAGGCTGGAGGGACAATGCCTAAGAGCCCGCCATAGCCGAAGGAGGCCAGCAAGTTTGCGATGCGCATAGTATTCGCATCTGGAGAAGATGGGATGGCGAGTAGTAGCATGCCTGCGGTGTATACCACCAGGGATACAAGAATGTAGGTGTAGACACCACCCCAGCGGTGGTTTCTTGTCCAATCCAGTGGGATGCAGACAGCAAGGCGGCCCAAGGCATTCACAATGCCAAAGACGCCTGGGTTGCTGTTGAGGAACTTAAATTAAGTTACTATATTGGGGAAACCCTATTATTTACTATATATACCCATTATGGTATCTTAAACCCTAAACCCTGAACCCTATGTAACCCCAGTATAGGTTCCTTAACAGTAACCCAGACGCTGGTCAGGTTTTTGCTGCTCACATCCACCTCCGAGGCCAGACTGGCCTCGCAGGGATTTGGGTGGTTGTCAAAATTATGGTACCCATTAGGGGAATATTAGGGTTATATTGGGGTTATATTTGGGTTATATTGGGGTTATATGGAGGATAATGGAAAAGAAAATGGAAACTACTATAATGGGTTATATGGGTGGGTGTCAAAATTATGGTCCCTTTTTGGGGTCCCTATTATAATACGGCACCTAATATTTAGGGTACCCAAAAAGGGACCATAATTTTGACAACCACCCATGTGTTGACAACCCCTCACACCTTTTCTGATGCTAGCTTCCGCTTGGGAGGAAAACCGCTGATGCAGTCCGAAGCGGTTACCCCACTCACTCCAACAGTCTACCTAGCGCTCCAGACTCGCGACAGCATGGCCATCAAATGGACAGCACTTCACTGCTTATCGCTACTTGCGCCTTGCACGGTTTAGGGCTTAGAGTTTAGGATTTAGAGTTGGGGGTTTAGGCCTCGCAGTCCAGAAAGCTGAAGCTGAAACCGATGGCCACGCAGAAGAGGACCATCATGTAGGTAAACCTGGGTTGCTGTTAAGGAGCTTAATCTAAGCTACCACATTGGGGCGACCATATTAGTTACGATATATTTATATACATATATATATATATCTGAATATACCCATTATGGTGACTTAAAACCTGTGGAGTATATACCCTATACCCTGTTATAGACCCTATATACCCATGATGGTAACTTAATTTAGGCTCCTTAACAGCAACCAGAAACTCAGAACTTCTCATGCAGCTCCACAAGCTTCGGCTCTCGCTCTCACCTTCCTCTTCTGCCTCCGCCTGCAGGAGTGGCACAAACCGTTTCAACCTTCCGTTAAACCTGCACAACTACAGGACCTACTACCCCAGCAAATCACAGCGCACAGATTGGTCCCCACTCCAGAAGTTCCTCTTTAACCAGCTTTAAAATGCCCTAATGATCCCGAAATAACCCTAATTCAAGGGGAACCTTGGGGGCAGTATCAGCGGGATAGGAGGTACCAAGGTTTTTCAGCTATTCAGCTGATGCAAGACAGCCTTGAAACATAGGTAAGCGTATCACGAAGCCCTGGTGCTGTCTGCAATGCTGATTAAAATCGACTGGACATGACATGTTCTTGCTTGAAACTAGCCGGCACCATTTGCATGTACAAGCTACACGCAATCCTCACACGCGCGGCCTGCTTCATCAGGTTCCGGCACAGCCAGAAGACAACGCACATAAGCAGTCCGACCACGTTGAAAGTAATGACTGCGTAAATCAAATACCGCATGATGGGATCGCCACCATCCTTCTTAAGTGCATAGTAGGCCTGTGTTTGTATCGTCATGCCAAGAGACATGCACACCTGAACACAAGCTGAGACCAGCCCAACGGATTGCACTGGGAAGACGGCGAGAGGTGCAAAAGAGCCGATCACATTGAAGAAGGTGGCTGCAAATCCAAAGCAGATGTAGCAAAAGGATAAGCCTCCCATGGTGCTTACGAAGGACGGAAAATCGGGGGTCCAAATGAGCTGCAAGATGATACCAAAGTCGGCGATAAGGGTCCCCAGCAGCATTGTTGGGACACATCCTGAGAAACACATGGGTCAGTGTACATTGGCTCCTGGTAGAACCCCATCTACCCCTATCTGGTGGACCAATTCACACTCCTGGGTCAGCTTTTAAGGCACTTTCAATCAATTTGTAAGGCTTGGGTCAGCAAATGAAGAAATCCTGAATTCTCTGCAGGCATCCAAGACGGTCATAGCAAAGACCTGGTATGAAGGAGAGGGCACACGCGCCGAAGTTGAGGCAGGTGTAGAGGAATTTCCCCTGTGCCTGCAAACACAGTCACCATCCTCAAATCAGAACAGAGTAATGTAGTAGTGCCACGCGGCGTAAAACTCATACTTCCAAAAAGCACTGCTTTTTGGCCGCAGTGGGTTTTGAGGGACCTGGGTGCACAAAGAGGTTGGCGAACCTACTCATTCGAGGGTTGCTATTCGCATAGTATGCGCATATAACGCTGAAACAGTACATTACCTGAACCCAGGGTCCCGCAAAGCAGACAGAGTCAGTTGAACTTGGGCTGCTTCTGCCCTTGCTTGGTCAGACTGATCCATCCACTCCACACGTTACGGTGCCTCCCCGTTGGCCGTAACAGCTGCCCAAAGTTCATCTGAAGCAGAACACTTGCTTGTCTGGTGTCTGGAGCAGGATGCCGCCATACAACTTGACGAGTTCGGATGTGAGCCACAACCTAAACTCTCAACTCCTAGAAGCCCCCCTAATGACCCCTATGATAGTCCCTCAGATCGTCCCCGTTTGAAGAGTTTAAACCCTAGCTCATGTGATCCTCTTTCCAGATCTATCCTTACCGGAGCTTCGAGTGACAACCTCAGTGTCCCGTGTTCTGCAGCATCACCGTCCGAACGATGCCATGATGACAAAAAAACTCTGAATTTGCGGTGGTCTGGATGCCGCCCATGCAGCTAGAAAAAACATGGCAAGTGCAGTGAGGAGAAGAGCGATTGACAGCACGTATGGACTGCTATCTTAGTCAGCACAAGAGAAGGCGGCAATGACCACGCTGAAGCATTGCCCGATTCTCGGCCAAGCTTTGGACAGTGTCGGAGTCCTACCCGGGAGCATGCATTCTGGACTCCCATCCAAAAGAATCTAGCGAATTCATTGCGAGACCACTCCCCGAAGAGTCAACAGTGCTCTAGCCAGCTACTCGCTCTGGACCAGGAATTCCGGGCGTCTTCAGGCCCATAACCAGCCTGAGGCAAGCATGCCATACTCAAACTACACACCTATGCTAGCGGTCCATGCGGTCAATGGCTAAACCAGCATCAATCCGCACCTGTGGAACCGCTGTCAACTGCATTCGTTGCCCTGCAAACACCTGGCGTACGAAGCTGCAGATTCGTCAGAACACTTGCCATGGCGCACTGAAACAAATGTGTGTGTGTGTGTTGTAGTTGCTAGCTGCTTGCAAGCGGGGATGCTGGGGCGGCCAACGCAGATCTTTCGACCGAAGAGCTCCTGTTTGATGGCATACACACCCTTCCACAAAGCCCCAGTTCTGCGAACCATGCACGACGGAAGCAGCAACAGCAGCAGCAAGAGAAGCATCAGCAACACCAGCATCACAGTCATCACCAGCAACAGCAAAAGCCCAAAAGCAAGCAAAACTTACAAGGTGCTCACTGCACATCATCAGCATGAACACGCTGACAAGTGTACTGAAGACACATTGCCATCAACTCCATGATCTTTCCAACCACAATGACCCTGACAGTGGTACGAATAACCAGTACTAAATACCAAGTAACAGGTGGCAAGGCAACAGTCATAATAGCAATGGGAGCCATCAGAAATCACAGAAATGACCTGCAATTTCAGCAAAATACCGGAAAGACAGATTGCCAGGACAAAAATGCTGACAAGCCAGGACACTGTGCTTTGGAAGACCGATGTCACACGCTGAGCAAGGGCCGCGCTCTGGAATTGAATGCAACAGCCCCCAGGAGGAATCATGGGCAGGGCAATGACATATGGCAATACATATCTCCAGTTAAAAATTGTTAGTAAGTTTAAGCCTTGTGCTAGCAGCACTGAAAACGCAATAACGGCTTGCAGCTCAATGCGCCAGCACCCCGTGTCACGTGCTTGAAGGGTCAGGAGGGCTGAGAAAGATTGCTCCTCTCGTGCGCTCCGGTTACTGTGTGGCTTATATGGGTGATAAGTATACTTAGCCCCCCTGGACCTTAACCTTAAGCCCTAAACCCCTAAGCCCCCAAACCGATGCAACCCTAAGGGCTGTACTTTCTGGATTGCTGGCCCCAAGGAAGGATCGTACTCCGGCGCTTGCTTTACCTGCACCTGAACCAGGTCGTGCATCACCTGTCATGCTGCGCACGGCTAATGGGGATCAACAGGTAAGCGATGCAAAGTATCTGTCTGTTTCTCTGCTGTTCGGCAGTTGAGATTTGACTGTGGATTAAAACGCTGCGACAGCACGCTCACCCCTTGTTACGCTGCCCTTTCTTGACTTGTGTGCAAGAGTCCCTGCATCATGCGTGCAGACCCCGTGCACGTTTTCAAGCTTGCCTTCTCATCCACCTTACCATGGGTAAGGTTGCCGAAGTAGACTTCACGCAGAAAGGCACCCGTATCTGGACGAGCACACTTCGTCTTGAGCTCGAGAGCTGGCACCCCACCATATCTCGAAGTCGCACAATAATTCTGCGGACGTCCAATTCTCAGTGGCTTGTTCCCCAGCATGAGCCCACTTAGCTCCAAAGCGGTAGTAGCAATGGCTTCATCAAGAAACTCCACGAAGGCAAACATACCATGCTCTTGGGGAGGGAAATCTATGGACCGCACGACATTCACAATGCCAGGATATTTCTTCACGAAGCAGGGCTGGCCCAGGAAGAAGATGTTGAAGGTCTGACGCAGCAGGTCTCTGCCCACCTGCGGGCATGAGACCATGAACAACATGCGCTTCAAGGCTTCTTATGATTACTATTATATGATTGCTTTTATTACTTCTACTTTTACTGTCACTATCTGTTACTATTACCTTTACTGTCATTATTACTTCTCTTGCCTATGTGATGATGAGCAAGGTGCTACTGCAAAAGCATCGCCCACGTAAACGCTTCGACGGTCCAGCAAGGTCGCGACTGCGTCTCTCAGAAGTCTGGCTGGCTGTTGCCCAGGATTTGTGGGATCTGGCCTGCCGCGGCTCCAAAAGCATGCCTTAACCCTGGTCTAAACCCTGAACCCTAAACAGCCTTCAGAATCTGAAGGCCTAAGATTCTGCAATCCTGAGGAGTGGCAATGTTGGCACCACATACGCAAACACTTTGTTGGTTAATCGATCTTACTTGTAGCCTAGGCATGAGGACCTGCATCCAGAGGTGTGCTGCAGGCAGTGCTGGCAACTCTCCACCTATTCGCATGAAACAACGCACCAATTCCGCCTGACATCCCAATTGCTTGTGCCAGCTGGTCGCCGGCTGTTGCGCTGCATTGGAGATTTTGTGCACCTGCTCAACTCGTCTGGGCATAGCACATACGCTGCTGGCAGCGGAACATCAGGCAGCAGATGTACAAGAAGAGGCCTGAACAAGCATTGAGTCCAGTCAACCCCAGAAAGTGCGGGCGACTCAAAGGTTGCATCGATGTGCTGCAGGCTTGCTCTCATCTAAAGGCTCCTGCATACGAAATGCAAACCCATCGTTCAGAGTAGGGCAACCATCTTGTAAAGTCTTGTGCGGAGCATACCCGACCACTGCCACAACGCTCTGTCCGAACCTGATCAATGCAGTGCCGCTACGTGATCCGATGGATTCCGAATGTCTGTCCGCGACGAGGTGTAGGATCTAGGGTCGAGGGGGGGAGCCTAAAAAGTTGCCAGGAACATCAGGTGGAAGCCCTTACTCCAAAAGCTTACCAAAGGCAATTATTGCGGCCTCTGCTTCTGTAGTTTGTTCCCGTGATGTTGAGGTCGGGATAGTTTCGAGGTCCAGAGCTAAGCCTCAGCCACGAAGCCTCTCTGCTTCTGTTCCAGATCCCTCTCGTACTCTGGTTGCAAAAGTCTGTCTTCAGATTCGTGATACGAAGATGTCGTTACTTTGATGTAGCTCCTCTACTCGGCATGTAGCGCCACATGAGCTCACATGTTGAAAGATCAACGCCTGCTTCGCTATACACACGTGGTAGAGCACTGACACACAAGAGGAATTGAATGGAAATACCCCTGCCACCAAATTGTACCTTGTCTGCATCCAGACATGTAGCCCTAAAATTGATTCCAGGCTGAGAAGTTGATGCAGCTTGATTTTCATTATACTTATGTGGTAGGGCACCAATTGAAACATCCCTCCCATCACATTGGACCCTGTCTTTACGCAGACTTGTCTACATCGCGGTAGCCTGGGCGGAGTCCTCGAAATTGATCGCCGCGTATGTGGAGGTGGAGTGCACCTGGCCACTGCTTGTACAAGTGCCTGCGTTTTGCTGGCAGTTCCTCTTAGGACTCCCGCGTCGAAGACTTGCCTACTAAAGCAAGATTCCATCTTCAGAATATCATGGCATGCTTTATTGTTCACATGTGGTAGGGCACCTGACCTAACCACTAAGAACTTGAATTCAGAGATCCCTCCCACCGCTTTGGACCTTTCTGAAAGCAGACGTGTCCACATCGCGAGGTAGCCTGGTTGCAGACCTCGAAATTGATCGCGGCGTACTTGAAGATGAAGTGCACCTGGCCACTGCTTGCCCAAGTACGTTGCTTGAATGCCAACGCATGTCTTATTATACCCACGCGGCAAGGTACCTAACCACTAAAGGGTTTGAATTCACAGATCCCTCCCACCGCGTTGGACCTTCTGAAAGCAGACGTGTCCACATCGCGAGGTAGCCTGGTTGCAGACCTCGAAATTGATCGCGGCGTACTTGAAGATGAAGTGCACCTGGCCACTGCTTGCCCAAGTACGTTGTCTCAACGCCATTGCATGTCCGATTATACACACATGGTCTGGCACGTAACCACTAAAGGATTTGAATTCAGAGATCCATCCCACCCCACTGGACCTTTCTGAAAGCAGACATGTCCGCATTGCGGACAGCCTGGTTGCAGACCTCGAAGTTGATCGCAGCGTACTTGAAGATGAAGTGCACCTGGCCACTGCTTGTCCGAGTATGTTTTTGCGCAAAGTCCTTTTTGAGACAGGGGGTACGAAGGCTTCTGCACCGCATCACAGATGCTCCCCACAACATGTATAGTGAGATATGTGCTGACATTCTCAACATTGAACGGCGATGTAGGGTAGTTTGGATTCCACCAAATGAGGCTACCTTCGGGAATGGTAAGGTTTAAGTGCGTTGCCGTGTGGTCTGGTGGCCCCTCAGCATGTTCGGGGATGGGTGCTTAAAGGGAGTAAGATGGGAACACCAAACAGGGAAGCCCAAGAATGTCATAGGAACATCATCGGAATAGAAGAACCCTGATAGGTACATTCCTTTTATATTCCTACTATTCTTGGCATTCCCTGCTTTGGGGTTCAATTATGGCCCCTGAAGAGTTTGAGAAACTCCTGCAGTACCGTGACCGCGACCGGGATGTCGAAGGTAGGCCTCAAACTCTACCAAAGCTTACTCAATCATGGGTCCTACTGTTCAGTAGATTTGGACTGACAAGTCCAGATACTGTAGATACAACTTCTCAATTAGGGCACCGAAGCAAGGCATAAGCCCCCAGGCCCTGACCTGCTAATTACGTTCGCAAGCACATCAACAAAAAAAGCCATGGGCCACTACCGCTGTAGCAAATCTTTCCAGAACCGTGGATTCCAGCCAGCAGAGTCATGACCGAATGTACGTGACTCCTCGTGGACATATGGCAATTGATCTTGAAATCCTGTGCCCCAGCTGGCTGTATATTATGGAAAAATGTTGATCTGCAATTATTTGTCCATAGGGATGCGCAGAATCCCTCAAACCCCCCCATTTTTGGACAAAAGGGCCTTAAGCCCCCAAAACCCATCATCCGAGGTCCGAACGACTGAAGGCAAGGACGAGAGCTTGTGCACATCTTTCTCGACTCCTGCTTAGGCTTTTGCCACTACCCTTCGAGCTTTCTGATAACAATCTACCCTGACTAGGGTCACCACACTATTGCGGGCAGTACGTAGCTGTACCCGGAAGCTTTATGCATTTCATTTAGCCTGCACACTGACTATTCCAGCATGGAGGGCCAGAGCAGGCTCCTGGAAGTCAGCAATCGCGCAACAGGCTGAGCATCATGAACTCCTTCTTTGGGCGACACCAGCATGTTGGGATTGTAATATAAGGTTAGTTGTCCCAATTCGCGGATGCTCCCAATCTCTGTCAAGCGATCTGCAACAACGTTAACGGCAACAACTCCACAAATGCAAAAACGGTCGCCGCCATGCTTGCTCCTACCATTGCGCAAGGCCATAGGGGCCAGAGCAAGCTGACAAAAGCCTGCCTGGTGGACAGATGCCGTTCGGAAGACAGAGCCGTCCCATCGCTCTGAAAAGCACAGCGCAAAACTTCAACTCCGGGCCGCCGAGCGGCCTGCTTTGACTATGTCTAGGTTCCCTATTTCTGTCAACATCTTGAGCAAGAATGCCAACATAGGGGTCCTGACCTATGGGCAACCCAAGCCATGGCCATGCTTGCCTGAACGTATTCTAAAGGCACGATTTTGGAAATGGCTCCGACACGGACAGTATTCATTCCAGAAGTCCACGAATCATATCACGAGTATTACTTCTACCGTACCATTCTTGATACTAATAGCATCACGATCCTTATCAATATTACTACAGTATCATCACTATTCTGACTGATGTTGCCATGACCTGAGCCCAAACTTTGCGCATCCAAGTCTCCGCTGCAGGGCTGGCAGGCACCTAGCCTCTTATTGAAAGAATCCCTAAACCCTAAACCCTAAACCCTAAACCCTAAAACTAAAACATATCCCTGGCTTCCGAGTTGAGATCTAAGCTACAGACTTCGGAGGCTCAAGCTGTGATGTTGCGTTGGCTCTAAAGCTCCGACATCCTTGGCATGCGCCCTTAACAAACTGTGGGTTAGTAGGGAATACGCGAATATCATATATAGGGGTTATGTAGGGATTATATTCCCTTATTCCTTAGTAACCAGCAGTACGTTTAGCCAACATACCCCAACCTCAGTCAGCCCGTAGTAGTCGTTGAAGTCGCTCACAGACACTCCGTTCGTTAAAACCAGCCCATACCTGCAGCAGGTTGCAACTACCGGCTCGCATCTGAGTAGGGTTTTTTTGGTGGTTGAACCTAGTAAGATTCTATTCCGTATATAAGATACTATACCAAAAAAGAGTATGCAATCTTACTCTATATAGGGTAGCATAGTAGCCCCAAATAAAAATACCACTCATCTGACTGTATTTGGGAACATGGCCATTTTACCAGAATGTCACTTTCCTCATGCCAGGATACTGAATCACGCCAAGAAGGCACGACACCAGTAGCAGCAGCCGCCGAAAGGTATATGCTGGAAGACCAAGAGCACTGCTAAGGCTCATGTTCTGGGTGATGAAAGACCTTGACTGCATGTTATGGCCAAGATGCCTCTCCACACACAAATTGGCTCTCGCGGTGTAGGCGAGAAGTTGGTGAACCCACAGAAGGCCCAGAGTTGGTTCGGTTTTAGGGTTTAGGGTTTAGGTAGATGGTGCTCAACAAATATATAAGCCATTGAAGCCAAGAATCGAGACTCTCTCCTGTTCCAATGCCATGGCTTCAAAGGGTTGCAGGCTACTATGAATGGTGCTAAATAGTAATAGCAATGGTAGTAATAATACTCGTATTCATTATAACAGCAATGCTAGAAACAGTATTAGTAAACACAAAGCTGCAGTCCTGCAAGTTGGGCTGTCATTGTCTGCAGCTGAGCCACGACAGGACGGAATCTGAACCCCTTAGCCCTTAGTAACCGATATAATACTCCCAAATACAATCCCCTATATAACACCCTTTAATTTAAGGAGCTTTGACTATAGCTCACACTGCAGGACTTCTGCAAATGCTTCAAATCTGGAAGGCCATTAAAGCACTGACAGAATCGTTCGAGATTCCAAGCCAAGGCGTCTGCCAACTTGCATCATACATCTCTGCAATGATATCAGCTACAAGAATCAGGCAGTCGAGCTCCAAAGCTGGGCCACCAAACCACTATTAAACCCACATCCACAGTGATCACCAGGCGCATCCGTGCTTCCCTGCTGGCCGCACTACTCTATAACCCATTATTACAGTAGTTTCCATTTTCTTTTCCATTATCCCAATATAACCCCAACATAACCCCAATATAACCCTATCCTTGAGGCCAGTGCCGCCCAGCGGGCTGGGCCCAGCGCTGCAGACCAACAACTTAGCGCCTTCTCAGTCTTGGGATTGATGGGGTTGCCACTGTAAGACTAGGTTGGCCCCTAATGGTAATATTGGGGTAATATTGGGGCTATATTGGGGTTATGTTAGGTTAAGGTTTAGGGATTAAGATTCTAGGTTGGCCCCTAAAACCCACTGAAAAATTTTAGGATATATGGTCCCCTATTAAAGCCATTAGGGAAAATATTAATTATCCCAGGGGCCTACCCAGAAGATGATGTAGTAGTCGTAGTTGCAGCCGTAGTAAAAGGAAGAGGCGGAGAGGAGGAGGAGGAGGAGGAGGAGGGAGGAGGAGGGAGGAGGAGGGAGGAGCGGTGGAGCGAGCAAGAACCAAGTTGGCGCAGCGTAGCCGAAAGAAGCTGCAAACTAACGTAGCCCCTGTCCCACCAGTGTCTACACAGCCTGCATCCCTCCGTGTCAGCCCTAAGGAGGAACACCTATAAGCTCCCTGTCGAATTCCATTGTCCACCACCTGCTTTTCGAATTGGTTATCCATTCCCTACCAACACCCCGGTAAGCCCTTAACACCATGTAAACATCTTTATAGCAGTTTCCATTTCAGCTTACAGGTTCTTTTCCATTTAATGCTCCGCTCTGGCAGAATACTAGTCAGACCCCAAACGGACCCTATGGACCTTAAACAGATCCTTTATAGACCCTATATAGACCCTAAGTAGATCTTGCGGACCCCAAACAAATCCTAGATAGACCCTATCTTATCCCATAGAACCCCATCCCTAGATTTTATCCCCTGTATATCCCTATATAATCCCTACAGCGCATACCCCTCTATGACACTTCATACCTTAAGCCATTTTTCCATCTGGATCTCTGTACACCCTAAACCCTGAACCCGAAAGAACCTAAACCCTGTACGTAGACCCTAAACCCCATAGACCCCTATACAGACCCTAGAGACAAAAGAGCCTGCCGCAGAAGCAATATCAGGCGGCCTCCCACTCTCAAGCGCACAGAGACACAGGATCTAGGGTTTAGGGTTTCAGGCTTCGGGATCCCGAATTGATGGACAAAAGCCTGCATGACAGTTAGTATAGTATAGTTTAGTATAGTAGAGAATATACTATAGTACAAAAACACTACCTGGTTTCGGTAAAGGTGGTCGTATAGGAGTTTGTCCATCCAGCGCTGGAAAACGCTGCCGGAGGGACCACATACCATAAGAGAATAAGTGACAAGGATATATTCCGAAACGGAAAGGTAATTGTAGCAATTATTGTTCAGGCTGCCAAAAACTTCTTAGGCTTCTCAAGATCAAAGACTGCGTATGTGTACGAACAAGACTGGGAATGGGGTAAAGATTGTATGTGGCGGTTTGAGTTGGAGCGTCTCAATCCAAGAGTGGGCGGACTTAAAGAAGCTGTGAACACCAGACCGCTGACCCAAAATTAAATTCTAAACCCTAACCTCTGAACCCTAAACCCTAGACCCTAAACTCTAAACCCTACGTCCTAAACCCTAAACTCTAGACCCTAAACCCCAAAGTCACAAGGCCATGAGACTGGCAGAAAGTCTCATTTGCTCTGGCAGCGTATATGCAAGCCGCATGTTTTGGCGTTTAGGGTTTAGTGTCTAGGACTTAATGGTTTAGGGTTCAGGGTAATCCTGTAGAATCGCTATATAATCCCTGTATATGTCCCACTTATATAGCAGTCTCCATTTTCTTTTCCATTCCCTAAACCTTCAAGGGAGTAAGGTTTGAGGATGATGGTTGAAGTGCAGGGTTTAGGGTTTAGGGTTTCAGGGTTCAGGGTGTCAGGGTTTAGGGTTCCTGGGTTCCAGGGTTTACAAAGGGTTTAGGGTCTTGCGTAGGCCT